TAGAGGAAAGTCTACGAAATGAGCTAAGATTGAATTAAAAAAAAAAAAAAAGTATTGTTGTACCCTAGTGCATGACCCCAGGGGCTGGATGCGCGTTTTAACCTCATGGGAAAGCCTTGTCTTGATACGTTTTTTTTGTGTGTGTGTTTTTCTTTTTATTCCCTGTTTCTTTCTCTCTTATCTCTTCTTCTCCTTAATCCGCAACTGTCTCCGCAATCTATTGTCCTTCTTCCCCCTGACTCGTATACTTTTCCTCCACTGCCTCTCTCCTTTGTTCTCTTCGATCCTCCTCCTCTGTTCGTTGCCCCCCTCCCCCCTCCCCCCCTTCCCCTCCCCTCCCTCTGCTGCAAACTTATTTTCTTTCTTATTCTAAAAGATGTCTGTGTCTTCCCTTCTGTGTCTCTTCCCTTTCTCTTCTCAGATTTTTTTTTGTTTTTATTTTTTCTCTCTTTTATTTTTAAAAAAAGGGGAAAATCAATTTCTTCTTGTTACTGATATTTGTCCGGTAAGAATGAGAAATTTGAACATCACTGTCGAGAATCAAATGTGACTTATAATCTTACACTGATACCATGAATGTTTTCTTGAAAATAGCAAGGTGAAGATAACAATTCAATGACAGTGGTTTCAATGGCGAAATACTGATAACAGGAGATCTATAATTCGACTGTCATGGGCGAAAAAATGACAGCGAGATGACATGAGGTGGAAAGTTTCGACATCTAGAAATACAGTTTGACCAACAATTTTATGCCTGTCTAGAGAAAACGAAAAATAAACAGAGACGGAAGTATGTGAAAAAAAAAAAACATGATATAAGAGGAAATCCGTTGAAACCCGAAACTCATAAACGTAGGTCGCGAATAATGACTTTTTTTTTCTTCTATTCTTTCCATTTACCAAGAATTTACCTAAGAGAAAATGGCCGACACTCGAACAGTTGCGAATAATGACTTTTTTTTTCTTCTATTCTTTCTATTTACCAAGAATTTACCTAAGAGAAAATGGCCGACACTCGAACAGTTGCGAATAATGACTTTTTTTTTCTTCTATTCTTTCTATTTACCAAGAATTTACCTAAGAGAAAATGGCCGACACTCGAACAGTTGCGAATGGTAAATCGAGACATGGCCTGAAGGCAGCGTGATTGTTCCACCCTTGACTTGAAAAATGGATTGTGCGTCTCTCCTCTCTCGTTCAACACGGGAGGAGATTGTCTGTCAAGGAAGGCAAACAACATCAGGCTTGCATTTACTGATGTATGCAATCTTTTATTCAATTTGTTTCTGTTATTTCCTTTTCTGTGTTTCCCGTGTATCTACTTATATGCACTTTGATGGGAAACTATGTTTAAGAACACATGAGTGTAATGGTATATAAAATATGCCGTGTGCTTTTAGCCTTTAAAACGCGCTACGCCTTCACAGAGCTGCACTCTATAACCTGTAAAACATATACATACATACATACATACACAAACACACACACAAGTACGCGCGCGCTCTTTATGTCATTCTGTCTTTCTGTCTTTGGCTTTCTGTCTTTCTGTCTTTCTGTCTTTCTCTCTCACTCTTTCTCTCTTTCTCTCTTTCTCTCTTTCTCCCTTTCTCCCTTTCTCCCTTTCTCCCTTTCTCTCTTTCTCTCTTTCTCTCTTTCTCTCTTTCTCTCTTTCTCTCTTTCTCTCTTTCTCTCTTTCTCTCTTTCTCTCTTTCTCTCTTTCTCTCTTTCTCCCTTTCTCTCTTTCTCCCTTTCTCCCTTTCTCTCTTTCTCTCTTTCTCTCTCTCTCACACACACACACACACACACACACACACACACACACACACACACACACACACACACACACACACACACACACACACACACACACACACGCACGCACGCACAAGCTCATACAAACTCAAAGCTCCCGGTAAAATTGGATTCAAGATCTATCGCCATTCCTCTCGCCCTCCTGGGAACCCCCTGTTGTGTAGCCAAAATAGATTCTTTTGAGAACCGTTTCAAAATGACGAACACGGGCGGCGAACCACGGAGGAGAGGGGGGAAGAAAGGAGGCAGAGGTGTTAAATGGAGGGAATAAGAGAGAGAGAGAGAGAGTGGAGGGAAAGGAGGAGGAAGAGAGAGAGTGGAGGGAAAGGATGAGGAAGAGATAGAGGAGGAGGAAAAGGAGAAGGAAGAGAAAGAGAAGAGGGAAATGATGAGGAAGAGAAAGAGAGGAGGGAAAGGAGGAGGAAGAGAGAAAGAAGAGGAAGAGAGAGAGAGAAGGGAGAGGAGGAGAAAGAGAAAAATAGGAGGGAAAGGATGATGAAGAGAGAGAGGGGAGGAAAAAGGGAAGGAAGAGAAAGAGAGGAGGAAAAGAAGGAGGAAGAGAAAGAAAGGAGGAAAAAGAGGAGGAAGAGAGAAAGAGGAGGAAAATGATGAGAAAGAGAAAGAAAGGAAGGAGAGGAGGAGAAAAAAGAAAGAAAGGAGGAAGACTGAGAGAAAGAAGAAGTTCAAAGGAGCAGGAAAATAGTGAGAGAAAGCGATGAGTGAAAGGAGGAGGAAGAGTGAGAGAGAAAAAGGAGGTTGAAAGGAGAAGGAAAATAGTGTGAGAAAGGAAAGAGTGAAAAGAGGAGGGACAGAATGAAAGAAAGTGAAAGAAGGAGAAAGAGTGAGAGAAAGAGAAGATGGAAAGGACGAGGAAATAAGAGAGAGAAATAGAAGAGGGAAAGGAGGAGGGTAAGAGTGAGAGAAAAAAAAAGGAAATAAGAGAGAGAAAGAGAAGAGAAAGATAAGAGGAAATAAGAGGGATAAGGAGAAAAGGAAATAAGAGAGAGAAAGAAAAGAGGTAATAAGAGACAGAAAGAGAAGATGTAATAAGAGAGAGAAAAATAAAAGGAAATAAGAAAGAGAAAGAGACGAAGAAACAAGAGAGAGAAAGAGAAAAAGAAACAAGAGAGAGAAAGAGAAAAAGAAACAAGAGAGAAAGAGAAGAAGAAACAAGAGAGAGAAAGAAGAAGAAACAAGAGAGAGAAAGAGAAAAATAGAGAAGAGAAAGAAAGATAAGAGGAAACAAGAGAGAGAAAGAGAAGAGAGAAAGGAGGAAAGGACGATGAGAAGGACAATTAACCCTCAACCACCGAGTTATTTTAAAGTGAATTAAATGTTTTAGAAAAGAAAAAAAAAAGAAAAACACGAAATAAGATATACAGTCAAGAAGCTCTTTAGACATTCTGAGCCTCTCGCCCCTCTACCCTCCCCCCCTCCTCTTCCTGCACCGCCCCCCCTCTCTCTCCTCCTCTTCCTGCACTCCCTCCCCTCTCTCCCTCTTCCTCTTCTCCCTCTCCCCTTTCGCCTCCGTCCTCCCCCTTTCCTCTCCCTCCAACCCCTTTCTCCTCCCCTCCCTCCTCTTCATCTCCTCCGTCCTCCCCTTTCCTCTCCCTCCTCCCCCTGTCTCTTCTCCATCTCCTCCTCCTCCCCTTTCCCTTCCGTCCATCCCTTTCCTCTCGCTCCTCCACCTTTCTCACCCCCTCCCTCCTCTCCATCTCCTCCTCCCCTTTCCCCTCCCTCCTCCCCCTTTCCCCTGCGTCCTCCCCCTTTCCCCTCCCTCCTCCCTCCTTCCCCCACCCCCACACCCCCAACCATCTCCTTCCTCTCCCATCCCCACCCCCCCAACCCTCTCCCTCCTCCCCCTTTCCCTCTCCCTCCTCCCCCTTTCCCCTTCCTCCTCCCTTCTTCCCCCACCCCCACTCTCCCAACCCTCTCTCCTCCCCCCACCCCCACCCCCCCACGCACGCGTGGCGTGCGACGATCTGCATACCAAATGCACTTGAGGTTTTACAGCCGCGCAGCCATTGTTTCAAAACAACATCCAGCCCAGACGCTTATCGTGTTATCTCGCACATTAACGTCGTCCTCTCGTGAATTGCGAGACTGTGGCATAAACAAGAGCTTGCGGCCATGATGTGCTTGGCCAAATGGGGGTGGGGTGGGGGGGGGGAGGGGGGGAATTTAGCATGGCAACTGATGATGGGAATATTCACGAAGGGAAACAGGGGTGGGGGGGTGGGGGGGTAGGGAGGACTTTCCACACATATCGAGCCTTCGTGAAAATATTTGGAGGCGAGTGGAATCTCCGGTTGATATGTATTTTGAATCGCGCGTTGATCCGGGGATGAAATTCTGATGGGTTGATTAACGTGCTCTTTAGTTCCTACGAGTTCATCAAATACTCGAATTTTATTAATCTCTAAATGTCAAAGGTTTTGTCTTTCAGGGATGCTTAATTTCGTTAAAACTAAAGATAGATAGATAGATAGAGATAGAGAGAGAGAGGGGGGAGAAGGAGAGGGAGAGGGTAAAAGGGAGAGGGAGAGGGAGAGGGAGAGGGAGAGGGAGAGGGAGAGGGAGAGGGAGAGAGAGAGAGAGAGAGAGAGAGAGAGAGAGAGAGAGAGAGAGAGAGAGAGAGAGAGAGAGAGAGAGAGAGAGAGAGAGAGAGAGAGAGAGAGAGAGAGGGGGAGAGGGAGAGGGAGAGGGAGAGGGAGAGGGAGAGAGAGAGAGAGAGAGAGAAGAGAAGAGAGAGAGAGAGAGGGAGAGGGAGAGGGAGAGATAGGGAAGGAGGGTCTGACTGTCTGTGTGTCTGTCTATCTGTATTTCACTCACTCATTCATTCACTCACTCACTCCCTCCCTCACTCACTCCTTTCCTACCTCAGTCAGTCACTCAAACACTCACTCACTCAATCAATCAATCAATCACTCCCCCTCCCTTCCCTCTCCCTCCTTCCCTCCCTCCCTCCCTCCCTCTCCTCCCCTCTCCTCCCTCCCTCCCTCTTCTCCCCTCTCCTCGTTCCTTCCTTCCCTCCTTCTCCCTCTCATTCTCCCTCCCACCCTCTCCCTCTCCCTCTCCCTCTCTCCCTCCCTTTCTCCCAACCTTTCCAATCTCCCACGAAATGTTGAACACACCATAAAAGACGGATCTCACCCCCCTACACACCATAGTACATGCACAATACTCACTTGGCCATCATTGCCTTCGTAGCAACTCTGCAGAGGATGCCACGGTTCGCGTTGCACTGGCCCGTCACTGGGTCGGGTGAAGCCAGGCTGATGTATGGAGGTTCCTCGAGAAACACGATCTGGAAGGATGATAATATGTTTGATAGGTACATGTTGATTTAAAAATACATTGCAGTGGATAGACTCCTTATTTTAACTATAACAGAAAGGATACAGTTATATACAGTTCACTAAAAATAAAACTCATAATGCTGTTATTTCTTAAAATGCATGCAGTGTTCCTGAATATGGCGCACACACACACGCCCGCACACACACACATGGATATAAGTGCGGGTTTGTGTGTATCATCATCAGCTAAATGCATAAGTCTAACTGAGAGCACACTTATTACTGAATAAACGTTTTAATAAACACACTGAGTCCCCGTGCGTAAAGCCTAAAACTTTCCCGCATTGTTAGAATCAGCCAGCATTGTCCTTGTGCAGTCTCTCTCTAGCCAGACATACCGACTATTATTATGTCGACATTCGGCGTATAGACTAAGTTTGCGATAAAGTTAGAGAGAGAACCGGATTTAGTTTACTGAAATAGATGCGAGAGCTAAAATAACATTTTGTTTGACCTTACCGCTGAGTTTAAATTAATTTCTAATTTCTAATGCAAAATGAATTCGTATTTTCCTCTCCTTCTGAGAGCTATCGCTAATTCAATATTTCTCAGTCAGCTACATTGCTGAAATGACATATACATTACATGAAAAAGTATATACTATTAAATCTTATAGTTTAATGTTAGACTCCCCTGTCTGAAGATAAGGGCGAGGAGTCAAGAAGGTAAACAGAGCGGGCCATTATAGCGGTCGTTACTGCAATGAATGCCGGGCCCGAGGTTCCTATCGCTCCAGACTATAAACTATTTGTTTCCATAAATAAATCAGTTCGGAACGATAAACCTAACACTAAATTATTTTCCAGTTCTCAGTCGCGCCTCTTCCCTCTCCCTCCTCCCCTCCCCCCCTTGCTGCTTGCGGGGATGGCAGAAGGCATAGTGCCTTACCTCCCCCCCCCTCTTCCTCGCTTCGTATTCTTCTTTACTTCTTCTTTATTACTTCTTTTCTTCTTTTTTTCTTCTTTACTTCTTTACTTCTTGTTAACTTTTTTATTCTTCTTTTCTATGTTCTCTTCTCCTTCTCCTTCCTCTTTTTCTTACTGCTACTACTCCTCTTCCTCCTTCTCTTCCTCCTTCTCTTCCTCCTTCTCTTCCTCCTTCTCTTCCTCCTTCTCTTCCTCCTTCTCTTCCTCCATCTTCTTCCTCTTCTTCTCCCTCCTCTTCTTCCTCTTCTTCTTCCTCCTCTTCTTCTTCCTCTCCCTCCTTCTCTTCCTCCTTCTCTTCTTCTTCCTCTTCTTCCTCCTCTTCTTCTTCCTCTTCTTCTTCTTCCTCCTCTTCTTCCTCTTCTTCTTCCTCCTCTTCTTCCTCCTCTTCTTCTTCCTCCTCTTCTTCCTCCTCTTCTTCTTCCTCCTCTTCCTCCTTCTCTTCCTCTTCCTCTTCTTCCTCCTCTTCTTCTTCCTCCTCTTCTTCCTCCTCTTCTTCTTCCTCTTCTTCTTCTTCCTCCTCTTCCTCCTTCTCTTCCTCTTCCTCCTTCTCTTCCTCTTCCTCTTCTTCCTCTTCTTCTTCCTCCTCTTCTTCCTCCTCTTCTTCCTCCTCTTCTTCCTCCGCGGGAAAACCCACACTACCACTAGTCTCTTGTCTTCAAGTGGATAGTTGAAACGATATCCGCTATTGAGTAACGTTCTGAGTAAACACCTTAACTGATATAATATTGATTTATTGATTTTTTTTCCGCATCAAAACGAGTATCGTGAAGGAAGGAGGAGGTGAGTGAGGAGAAGAACATGCTATCCCACACTACCCCAAGCTTTTTCATTTTAAATTGATAGATCTAAATATATCACAAGGATGAATATTATTAATATACATAGAAAACAAACATCCGGGTTCTGAACTTTATCACGCTATTCCACACTATCCCAAACGTTTTCATTCTAAATTGATAGATATAAATATATCACAAGGATTGATATCATTAACATATATAAAAAAAACAAAACACATCCGGATTCCGAACTTTATCTAAATAGCCCTTCCTTCTTCCCTACAAAAAAGAAAAAAAAACATAACACGACGTAGCAAAAAGAAGGAAAGGAGAAAATATCATTGGCGTAAGGGGGTTCGCCGATAAGCCTACAGACCTCGGTCCATCTTGATGTAGCGGGATCTTTTCCCCCAACCCACGAGGCCTAGAGGAGGAAACGCCTCAACCCGGTAACAGAGAAGCAGATTATCTCCACGGGGGATTTACCCTTCGTTGCTGACACTATGTTGGGGTGGGGGGGGGGGGGGGTTAGGATGGGGTGTGTGTGGGATGGGGTGTGGGATGGGGGATGGGGGGATGGGGGGTGGGGAGGGTATAAGGGGGGGGGTGAGGGCTTCTGTAGGGCTCTCCAATAACCTCGTTCTTGCAAGGGAAGAAGAGGGAGGAGGGAGGAAATAAGGGGGGATAGGGGGGAGGGAAGGAGGGAGGGAGAAGGAGAGAGGAGGGGAGAAAGGGGGAGGAGGGAGGAAATGAGGAGGATAGGGGGGAGGTAAAGGAGAAGGAGGGAGGAGGGGAAGGAGGGAGGAGGGGAAGGGGAAGGGGGAAGGAGGGGGGAGAGAGGAGGGGAATGAGGGAAGAGAGAAGAGGGGGAAGGAGGGAGGAGGAGGGAGAAAGGAAGGAGAAGGGGAAGGGGGAAGGAGGGGGAAGCGGGGAGAACGGAGGAGAGGGAGTGGGGAAGGAGGATAGGGGGAAGAAGATAGAGGGAGAAGGGAAGAGGAGGAGGGAGGAGGATAAGAGGAAGAGTGATGAGAAGGCGAAGGAGAGAGAAGGAGAGAAGGAGAAGGAGGAGGAGGGAGAAGGACAGATCGAAAGGAAGATAGTAGAGTAGAATAAAATAGAGAAAGATGGAAGGGAAGTATGAAATAAAGGAGGTATTGAGAAGGAGAATGAAATAACGGAGAACACACGCACACACATGCAGGGTAGAATAACAGACCATACAGTTTATTGAAACCGGTTTTGTGTAAAGTGGGTTTTCTATCATTGTATAAACACGTAAAGCGGTTTGTCATTCCCATACATACATCCAAACACACACACATAGATACATAAACAGATGCATATATACATGTAAAGCCGTTTGTCATTCACATACATACACAACACACACACATACAGAGAGATACATACATGTGCACATACACAGATACATGCATACACATATACACACCCACGCCCCACACACGCACACATACAGAGAGATACATACATGCGCACATACGCAGATACACACACACACACACACACACACACACACACACACACACACACACACACACACACACACACACAAAGAAAGATGAGAAGGAGAAGGCTTTAAAAAAAATTACAAATAAAAAACAGATCCAATAAAAAGTAGAAGCAAGTGAAAGACATCTTCTGGGAGGGGGGGAGGAGGGTGCGCTGTTGATTCGAAACTTCCCCGAACATTTCATTTCCGGTCCTGCTGAATTCTGACGAAGGAGAAAACCGCGTGGAAAAAAAACTCACCGGGCGTCCCTCGCGGAGTCGGTCCCCAGATTACTTTTTCTCAGGAAGGCGAAGATAATTGCCGTGTGGTGTGGCTTTGGTCCCTCTAAGAGTACTGTATGGACAAGGGCATTCGTATGTGTCTAGTTTGTGTGGGCGCGGGTGTTTCCGCCTTTTTTATGCCTTTTTCTCCCCTTTTATTTGCTTTTATCTCCCTCTTATCTGGTTTCTTGCTTTTCTTTTGTTGTTTTTATTTGTTCTTCTTTATCTGTCTGTTTGTCTAATTGTTTGTTTTGTCTAGTTATTTGTCTGTCTGCTTTATCTATCTATCCGGCCATCTATCTATCTAGCTAGCTATCTGTCTATCTATCAATTTATTTATTTATCTAGCTAGCTATTAATATTGCACTCTCTCAAAGCACTTAAGACATCTCTATCTATCTCTATCATTGTCTTATGTATATCTATCTCAATCTCTCTCTCTTTCTCTCTACTACTGTATTTCATCTATGTAGTTCATAATCTTCAATCCACAGAGAACCTTGAAATTGTCTCGCATTTGTTTGTTACCTTTCAATTTCTCCCCTCCCCCCCTCTAACACACACATACACACGAATTTAATTAATATCAGACAAAAAATACATTAAATATACT